TTCGGCTATCGAAACAGCCTTCTCGATGGTGACGGTGACTCCAGGAAGGTTGACCACGTTTGTAAAGGAACTGGTGAGACATCTTGGGGTTTGTCGTTGACGTAGGCTTCCCCCTCCAAGTTCAGCAAGGGAGTTGCTGATAAGCAGAGCGTAAAGAACAGCCGAGAATGCGACGGCCAACATGGCGGTACTGAGATATGATAGACGGGACTTTGGATGGCTCGCAATATGCGAGTCTGCCCATTCCCGGTCCATGGCGACGGTTCCAGTCGATGTTGTGTACTTTATAACAATCAACGTAGGGCTACCGGGTTGCATGCGACTTCCCATCTCTCGCCAGATATCCTCGTATTGTCCGTACAAGACATGGACACGATCAAGCACTTGGTCTCCGGTGACCTGATCCTATGATACGGCGCCGTAGTCTAGCAGATCGAAGTTGACGACCCCAATGGGGCTAGGTTCGGCGAATACTGGACGTGCGCCTCCTGGAGAGTAAAGGGTGTGAACTTCGGTATGCGACGTGACGTAACATAACGGAGTTGACCGTCACTATGGCAGGAGGTCGACCACTCCCAACAGTTCGGTGAGATCAAGGCAGTGTAAATGACACTTCGACGTAACCCTTCCTTGGGGAAGTCTTAAGCTTGCCGCCGTTTACCGTAACCAGATGTCTCTCGTCAGAGACTGAGGACCCCAACGATCGTGGTTGAGGGGATGCTTTAGGCAAGAATGTGGCAGTCAGGACAAGTGCTGGACGACTGCGATTGGGATTCGATGAGACTGGTGCGGCTGATGTTGCTTCGTAAAGCTGACAATAGCGGTGATAGTTGGGTCGAGATAGAGAAAAAGAAAAGAGCCAACGACCAAGGTGCCGCAATGGACAGTGTTGGAATATGCCGAATGTATCCGCAACCGGTACTGAAGAGTTGTCCAGAAGGGTAACATCATCTGCACGACATCCCAAGCTGGCGGTACTGTGTCATCAAGAACCTATCTGTCCTCCGTCCCTGGAGCCGGGTTGACGCGTTAAGAGTGCTGACCCAAGGACACGGAAGCGAGTCGGTGACGGGCGTGAAAGAGCGGCAAAGGTTGTCTGTTAATATATGCAGTGAACAGGCAGCAAGTCCAGCACCCTTTCTTGGATCAAGGGTTACATTGGTTAACCGTCAGCTGGCCATCAGAAGCTAGAGAAGGGCAGTGTGCTAAGGTAGAAGGCCAACGACAACCACTTCGGCTTCGCGAGCAAATGAGTATCATCTACTGCCTAACTGGCTGGCTCTGAATGGTCAGAGACCGCTGGGCAATACACAATATGAAGCGAATCCAGAAAAAAGCGGCAAACTGAAAAGAAAAACAAAGGACAAGTCGACAGAGAACATTAAAGAACGGAAGCACGCATGGATATCAGGGGGGCATTCTAATGAAGTGATTCAAGTCGCTGGGCTTGACTATCTGTAATATACTAGGACATGCCAGTCACTGGACAGCAAGCAGCCTGTCAGTCCACATAAGGACCATGACTAGGCGCAATTCTGGCTATTCTCAGTGGGCAATAATGTTCGGGACGTTATACCGCCGTAATAAACATTTACAGAAGCATTAGAAGGTGATCGCTCAATAAGTCGTTCAAACCGAGTGGCCTGCCTCGGTTGATCCATCATGATTTGGCGCTGTAGGGGCATTACATCAACGCACTCCTCGCATCAGTCCTCCTCCGTCCTCCCCGGTCCTGATCAGTTGACGCGGTAGGCGTCGTAGACGATTTCGGCGCCGCGGCGGCAACCGCTGCCGACCCAGATGCCGCTGTTGAGGTCCTCGTAGCGGTCGTCACCGGTCTCCAGCTTGATGTGGACACGCAGCTTGTAGCGGTTGGCTGCCACGTTGTCTGCGGCGACCGGGTCTTGGAGACGCTCCATGATCTCCTTCTCGCCGACCCACCAGCCCTGGACCTTGCAGATGATCATGGCCGGGTTCTCCTCGTTGGTCTGGATCAAATAACGGGCGTCGATCTTCGTCTCTGTTTCCTTAAAAGAGGTCTGAGTGTCTTGGCCGTTGGCCTGTAAATGCAAGGGATGTTAGCATATGTATGTCACAGACAAGATGGCCCAGTCAAAATGCATGATGGGATTACGTACAAGGACATTACCCTTGCCCCAGCGACCAGCCCACTGGCCACCAATGCAGGAGATCCAGCTCTGACGGCCGTAGGTGCCGTTGCCGATGTTCATCTTGGGCTTGACGCGAATGCTCATGCGGAAGTCCAGCTCGAGGGTGGGGGTGGGCAGGGCGAGCGAAGCGGCGACGTCGTCATCGTCGAAGTGGTGGAGAAGGTTATTGGCCGGGATCCTATCCTTCATAGTGGCCTGGTAGCCAGGGCACTGGAGCAAATGCTCGCGCTGGCGCGAGGTATTCTTAGCACGCACTTGGTTGCAATAGATGCACTTGGCGGACAAGCACTTGTCGCCCTCCTTGGCCTGGAACTCGACGAAGGCGGCATGGACCTCGGTAAGGGGAATCTCGGGCAGGTTGGGGTTGGTCTGCTTGGTCTTCTGGCGCTTGGCCGGAGGAGCGCTGGGTGCACCCGACATGGGGCGGACGTGCTGGGGAATAGGAGTGCCGGTGCCATGAGGAGTGCTAGTACCGTTAATACGCGCATTCGGGGTGAAGCCCAAGTTGGAATGCTGATGAGGGTCAAGTGAGGTCGGCTCGGGATAGACACTGTTGGCGCCGACATTAACGGCGGCCTGATGCTGGTTCTGAGCCTGATTGCCGGCGTTCAGGTTGGCGTTGTTACCGCCGTTGTCCTGGCCGGCACCGTGACCGTGGCCGGCGGGACCATGAGAAATGGCACCGCCGTGGCCGCCCGAGACGTGGACGGAGCCATCATGATGACCCTGCGCATGCTGCTCGAGAGAAGACTTGATGGCAGCAGCGGCCTCGGGGTGCTGGGCGAGGTACTGGGTGCACTGGGCGAGATGCTGCTTCTGCCTGGTCGTGTTCTTCGCGCGGACTTGGTGGCAGAAGAGACACTGGACCGACATGCACTTTTCCTCTGCTTGGTGGAGCCATTCAGAAACGAGTCAGCCTTGATCATCATTCAGGGTGTATGGTACTGTCACCGATAGTACCAAATGTAAGATGTAACAACGCGCCATTGGTAAGGGTCGCGGTAAGGATGGCGTAATGAAAGGAGGGTGAAAATACCTGCGTTGCGGAATTCCATGAACGCGCTGTGCACGTCCGCCTCGATAGGCCTCGGCATGGTTGCTTGTCTGTCTGTCTGTAAGGTTGGAAGATGCTAGACTGGATGCTGAGGCTGCGCTGCCGAAAGAAAGGAAAAAAAGAATCGGTAAAGGGTTGTTTCGAGGATTGAAATCCGAAAGGACTTGTCCCAGCAGACACACCTGTTTGTTGCGCGTCTGGTCGGTGGAAAGAAATTGCACGTCACGCACGGGACGGTGACCACAATACCTACCTCTGCGCAGCTAACAAAATGCGCGGCCAACGGCAGGCATTTGGCACGGTCCCTGCTAAGGCAGGTGAACGGAAATTTTGGAATTACCTTAACGCGGACCGTCCGTATTACAGAGCTCTGATTGGCTGAGGGTCCTCAACGATATCCACAAATTAAACTTGTTGATCGCTCTAGCCTGACACCATGTTTTCCGCACTTGTTGGACCCCCAGGACCCCTCAACCCCTAAACCCAGCGGCCCTCATGAACGAACTGATCCCTAGGAATCGGCAGTCTAAGTCTAGACTCTAGACCAGTCCAGAGCTGTGACACTCTGCCCATAGTTCACAAGTCCACTTCCTTCGACATCTATGCCATCATTCAGTCCCACCACAGGAAGGAGTTCTGGAGACGCTACTTGACATTCCCTCCCACTCAGTTGACTAAATGCATCGCCAATATGACGTGGAAGCCCGGAGGGAAGTATATTGGTCGCGTAATGAATCGTCGGTACCCATATGCTTCACTGAACCTCAAAGTGGTCCTCCAAGTGGTACTCATCTGGGCTAGAAGCGCCTCAGACACTTGGCCACCCCACGGGGAAGAAAACGATTCTAGCTCCAATGAGCATGCCCGCCGTTGAATGATGACCCAGCAACCGGAAGCAGACACGGGAAGAGTGGGAAGCGAGGGGCACATTTCCCAACAAGACCCGACAGAACACTCCAAGGTAGACCCACTGAGACGAGCAAGTTGCCTGGAGCAACGAGAGAGCTTCCACGTGGGACGTGGGGTACCTGATTATCAATATCTCAAAGGGATCAGGGCACAGCAGCCCTACTACACTGCGTGCCAGTGCCGCCTTGGAAACAAAAAGACGCTGCTCGCCGATTCCACTAGACTGGGAAAGCCCAGTTCTTATCGGGATCGAGAACAAGTCAGCAGCGACGTACCGATGTAGCCAGATAAATGAGGGACTGCCATCAAGGCGCCAAAGGCTAGCTCTCCCTATGTTACCATACTTTCTTTGCCTTGCACTAAACGGTGACCGTGTCTAAAATCACAGCTAGATCACCTTGATCCCGAAATCATCATAGTACACGTGTGAAACATATACAGTAGAATCAACAGGACAGGTTGAAGAAATGAAGCTCAAGTCGAGTAAATGTATACTTGCAAGGGCGATTAGCTTGAGACCGTAGTTACCTCTAGCCTGTCCGGGCGTTTTCATATCTATTGATTCTATGTGTTCTTCTTGATGACGTTGGCAAAATCTCAGTGCTTTGGCTCCATTCAGATCATCTAATGATTCTTCCCGGTCCCTTGGACATCGCCGAGCGTCTAGGTGGCGTTATGATGGGTTATTATAAGATCCATTGCAGAGTACTGAGCAAAGAAAAACACGGTTACCTACCTTTTGTTGAGATTTGAACATCAATGAGCATGAGGCTCATCCATACCTTACATAAACAGCTTTCGTCCCATTTGTCCTATATGTATTAGGTCGACAGACGCACCTTCCAACAAACAACGCAAACAAAAAAGCGCGGTTGGCGTAGTGGTCAACGCGTTCGCTCAATAAATGGCACTTCGGATACCTACGGTGTTCGTTGTCGGGCTGGGGCCCTTGCCACCTGACGGTGAATGTTCCCGGGTTCGAATCCCGGACCGCGCATCTTTTTTTTCTTTTCATATTTCTTTCTTTTTCTTTTTTTCTTTTTTTGTTGTTCTTTTCGCTTCATGAAGCTTATGGGAGTTCATGCGGCGCTAGCTTGACAGAGGAGGAGGAGGAAACATCCATCATATTGCGTTTGCAATGCACATGTGCCAAACGGGAACGGGAAAGAGCTCCCCCCACCCTCCTTGGGGTATCTTGGCCCCATACAGCTCTTCATGCCCTGCCTGACTTGCAGCCTTTTCGATCAAGCGACTCGTATGTAAGGTACTTAATGCCCACAATTGATACGCGGTTTGTCTCTACGACCATTCGTGAGTTCGACGGCCTCACTATGTATTTGGGAACCAAGTGAGAGGAAGTTGACAAAAAGGCCCAAACAAGCCATCGCTCAGCCCCATGCAGCTCTATGCAGATTGCACTAACGCGTTCTCTTGTTATTTCTGATTGTGGCCGGAGAGGAGAGCCTGAAAAAAAAAAAAGAGACACGACAAGATATCTAGGGATGTGTGCCCGTTGCTGTACTGAAGCTCAGAGTGAGCGGTTGTTGAATATATGATGCGGACTAAGAGAATGACTGTAGGTGTTCTGGAACTAAGGGATCTATGTGGACGTGACATATTAGATGTACCTTCCAGTTGTCCCTTGGACAGTGGTGGCATGGCTGAAAACAGTGTTGTGAGGCCTGTGCTAGTAGATATCTATAAAAGCTCCAAAATGCTTTGTTGACATGTATCAGAGCAATATCGTGATTCTTTGGGTATCCTAGATGGGATCGAAGAAGTACGTAATGTGACAATGTGATATAAAGCACGTTGCCCTTCGTTGGCATGAACTATCATGTTGTCCACCAGCTCAGAAAATGTGTTAAGAGAGAGCATGGCTCACTATACTTTGCTAGTTTCGAGGTACAAGAGGGAAAGAGATATAGTGACGAATTAATGAAGCTCTCAACACTTATGTTCCGTGGGCCCATAGGTCTTAAACCCGTTGATTGTCCAATACATGTAGAGTATTGATCCCGATATTGTAGGAAAAACACGATGACATAGCCCTGTTAGAAAACGAAGATACCTGACTTCCGGTAACGTGTAAAAGAATTGGCTTAACCAGTGAGTAGTTGCGGCAATGCTCCAGAAGTCGAGACGTGAAGTCCAGTGTGGATAGCACATGCCTATTGCCAGGATCCTGTGGCTTTCACTCATTGGCCACTCCTCGTTTGTGAGCCAAGCTTTGAGCTTAAAACTCTATCCGATGACTATAAGCCCTTGCTTGGTAGCGTCTCTTGTGGCTTTTATCGGTTTTGGGTACGGTCCGCGAAAGTCGCATGGGAGAGAGGAGTCATGGTGGAAAGTCTACCATGAAAAAGTTGATGGTATCGGATCGTCCCGTCATATCCGGCCGGGTTTAACGCGGGGAACTCCATTATCCTGTTCTCGTTGATCCGCCTTGGAGCAAAATTAAGGTTATTATGGAGCCGGAGATAAGAGATGTTGCAAGAGGGGTGTCGGAGCTCCAGTCGTCTCCGTAGGGATGGGCGGATCTTGCAAAGAGACGGGAACCGAGGATCCTCGGGGCGGATGTGTTGTCGATGATGACATAACGTGTGGTTAGATCAACCTTAAACTTAAGCTTGATGGTTGCTGTTCACGCCCTCTGGATCTCTTCCAGGCATCTGGTTTGTTGAAGCTCGTCTCATACACCTACGATCTCATGGTGATCCAAGCCTTTGGTACTGATGTTGGTGCTAATCTGTTCCTCGCATCGCCACCTCCGCAACTATTCACGACATGCGACTTCTGGTGTTGTTCCTCCTTGAAGGGATCAACACTCAGATAGGCGACCCTGCAAAACCCATGCCGTCGCGCAGAGCCGCAACCCACGAAGCCTGCATGCGAAGGTGGATGTTCGCTCCGGTCTTCCGAAGGCCCACATGATCATCTTGATGTGCGGATTTACACCAGATCACACTGTGTATGGAAGTCGAACACCTTGGCAAGAATGAGAGTCATGACGCCACAAGAGCGACTTTGATGCACAGTGAGGTAATTCGTAGCCAGAACTGTCCAGCTCGTTCAACTGGTTTCAGGTTGAGAATTTCGTACACTAATGTGGTATACCCATCTTTGGTATCGTGGTGTCAAGACCTGCGAGGTACTGATAGGCGACCATACACTTGAGCCCTGGTAAGTTCGTTAGCTCGGTACATACAGGGTTTTCGACAGGGCAGGCCGCTGCAAATGCCCTGCAAATGCCCTGCAAGTGCGCTGTGAATGCCCTCTAGCTTTACCCGTTATAGAAGATGGGGATGATTGATACTGGTGATTTGGGTGATTCTAGTCCATGAGCTGGCGAAATAAAGAATGTGTGTGTGAGAGTTGCTGAAATGTGCTGTTAACTGAATTCTTTCTCACTTGAGATCAGACGATTTCAGCCAATCAGATAGCGTAGATAGCTCTGTCCTGCCTTGCAAACCCCCCTGGTAAGAAAATATGGGGCAAGAACCAGACTAACAAACCTACAAGGGCTGATATGTACCTCACATAGACAGCGTTCATCTTGACGTGCCAGAGAACCGTTTGCCACGGAGCAGCGGCGTCCAGCAACTTTGCTCTGGTGTTTTTTTTCATGACCCTTTGGAGTCTGGACCCCGAGAGAGAAGGCATTTTCTGGAAGTTCCCGATGACGCATCGTACTGCCAAGCAGAGGACGGGAACAGAGGCTAAAGGGTAGAGATACGTACCGAAGCGAAAAAGAAGCTCAACGGAGAATCCCGACGAACTTTGGAAGCGACAGCGAGCTTGGCATTTTAAGCAGCCAAGTTTGCTGCCAATTGGTTGCGTCTGTCAGTGGCGGCGAGACGGCCCGAGGATGAAGCCTTGCCAAGTCGGGGCTCTCAGCAGCGAAGTGGCATGGTCGAGGTGACAGGGTTTGTCTCAAGTCGCGTGGGTTCGGGTGTTTCGCGCAAAGTCGACCCAGCGGCCAGCAGATCGAACGAGACAGTTCCAGAACGACAAGAACAAAAAGCCAACGCGCTGAGGTCAAAGTGGAGTTTTGATGGGCCTCGAACAGAAAAGAACTCAATGATCTCGATGAGTGTTGCTGATCGCTTGATCGCGTCAGAGAAAAGGGGCGCAACGCAATTGCAACGTTCTTCAACGCCATGCTCGAGTTCTGCGAGATGTCGAAAATATCGGAATGTTAGGCCGTCGGATCTTTAACGTGCATTGACATGATCTGGTAGCAAGATCTGGTTTCATCTGATGATGATCTGTCGTGGGTGTTGCTATGTGAACGTGTTCTTTGGAAACATCTCAAACAATTGCTCCAGTGCCAGAGACCAGGTGCTAATCCTTGGTCGGATCACGTGAGCGCGAACACATGTCATACCATTTCCGAACCATTGGGCAAGTGCAAATTGCTCGGGTCCACCGCTGTCGCGAGACGGAGGACCCCACCAGCACCCAGACCCTGACACAATCGTACGTTATGGTCTCCATAATCGTTCACGGCGAGCATTTGGAGTTTCAATAGGCGAAGCCTTCAATCAACCACTGCGATTATGACCAGAAGATTCAGCTTCACACAAAGATCCCGAAGATGAAGCGGCGAGCGAAAACGACTGGACGAAAAGGGAAAAGACCGCGATTGAGAAAATATTGTGCATCAAACCCCCACGCCGAATGGACAAGCCGAACAAACTGCGACCAAAGCACAGGGAGAACGAACACTAATGCAATGCATGAAATTTGGACGAAGAGCTAATCTCAATTGCATTTTAGACACACACAGTCCTTAAAAAGATTGGGTTTTTGTCCATTTGTTGTTGAAAACCCGTTACTGAGGCTTCGTTTTTTTGTCATGGGCGAGCTCGCATGGTCAAGCGTCCAATTTCTCGTGGGATGGCACTCTTCTCGAGGAGATCTCAACAGTGGAGCGAGAGGATGATAAACTCGAAAATCTGACAAGCCGGTGATGCCGAATCCAGTGATAAAGGCATCACGACCCCCCAACTGATACCTCCTTCCTCTGTTGGGCATCAACAAGATTCAAAGCATGTTCTAGCCATGGCGGTGACATTGGAGTAGTATTCTCGTCTGAACTGGTCGAGTGTTCAAAAGGGCGAACGAGTCCGTCGCGTCTATGAGAAGCTCGCGATGCCGAGCCTTCTAGCCAATCAGCCCCTCTCCCGCCTGTTAGGTAAATTGGGGCCGGTCCCAGACGGTTGCAGCTGTCAGATTATCAGGGTGTGCATGGATGGCCAGACTTCTAGTCCAGTATATGCCTCCCTGTCTGGATAACCTCATACACTGCATATGCGGTGCAAAGATCCCCTCATACTCATAACTCGATATTTGAGCTATCTAACAATACTACCGCATAAGGACTAGCCTCCCAATATCCCTAAATCTTATACTTAAACCCTAGTAACTCTCGAAAAGGATAGAGACAAAGATTACCAGAATTAATTACCTTTTACTACATACCTTTTGATCTCTACCCTACGTACCAATCTAACAATTAACAATCTAATACGCGCTAGTGGGGTGCCAGGTTCGAGTTACGTTCGAAGCAGAAGATTTTAGCCCATTATAATTCATTCTAAAATTCCAAGATGAAAATTAAACCAAGAATCCTAAGATAAAAAGACTATCTAAAATTAAGCTAACTTCCGTCGGTAAAAAGTCCGTCGTTCAGTTGGGGGGGTGTATTAGAATATAGGGTTAGTTAAAAAGCTACTACTCCAACAAGTTCGGAGCTCCAATTTTGCTAGTATAACGTAGTAGTGTAAATCTAATATATTAGAATATAGGGTTGGTTGAGAAGCTACTACTCCGACAAGTTCAGAGTTCTAATTTTGCTAGTATAGTGTAATAGTATAAATCTAATAATTAACAATCTAAGTATCGTATCGCTATACTACGAGACTATTTAGAAGTACTTATATCTTACCTACCTTCTATATTAGTACTATTAATTAAAATAACTATAATAATTCT